TGACAACTGTAACAGTTTCCAGTCGGGAAAACATGCAAGAAATGTACTTTGAAGTTTAAAAAGAAGATAGAAGGGAGGGGGAGATAAACAAAAATCCAAGAAAAATAAGATAATTCAAATATTATAATGGGAGGGTAGCTTTATCCTGTGTATTCGAAGCAAATGCAATTCTATAAAAATTTATATTTTGCACAAGCTTTGACATAAAGATGGGCAGTTGCTTAAAAATATAGAAAATTTGCAAATATAACACTGATTTTTGTTGTTTGACTTCAAAATTAATAGCAAAGCTGTTTATCAGCTTTCCTGACAGGGACAGTTTTTGTGTTATCTAACCATGGGTAAATATTACATTGTTTTAATTGTCCAAACAAAATTGCGATAAGTTATTAGTGTTACTAAATGTTGCTTTTACACTTGTTTTTCAACAAATGGGAATTCAGAAACTGTAGGATCTATAAGATGAAACATTCCTGCAATTGTAATAAACGTTTCTGGCCACAGCTAATACACATTCCTTAATTAAATGAATTTCACCAACTTATTACTGAAAATTTAAATAGCTAAATCCAACATAAAAATCAATATTGAAAATATATAACTCAGAATGGACTAAAGAATATCAGAATAAACAAAATGAAACATATGAAAGATCACAGCAAACTCTTTGAAATAGTTGTTTTATCAGAAATTGCAGTTCACATAACCAACAGCACTATTATTACCAAACTGGAATGGTATGTGGATAATGCATTTTTGCTTTTCTGTCATGTGTCTTACCAAAACCATCCATACAAATGGGGGGGGGAGAAGAAGATCAGCACTTTCACAACTATTAATAAAACAGGAATAAATATATAAATGATGAACACTAATTTCCAAAACAATGCTCAACATAAACAAGTGACTGTAATTAAGCAAATCTGTTACTGCAGCTGGCTTTGTTTTGCCAAGCAATTTACAAACATGAAAAATAAAGATTTGTACAAAATAAGTTTTTGTACTTTCTGACTGAACAGCAGACTTTGTGAATGGAGAAAAAATGTTTGTTGGGCTTTATGGTTTATTTATTATCTAAAATGTTTGTTGGGCTGTATCTTAGGTACTGTGATGTTCATGAATTGTAATTAATTTTAGTAGAAAGTAGAAATTTTCTAAGGAAAAACTGAAATCTATATTGCCATTTTCACATTTTACAGGATGTGAATATTGTTTACCTACCATCTTCATATTTTCAACATATTAATACTTAATAATTCATTTAGAAATACAGTTTTAAATATCAGTTGCATAAATTAATATTATTATGCCTGGTGAATGACTGCCCAGTGGTGAAGTGGTTAGTGTGTCGCGCAGCTGCACCACACGCCAGGGGTTAGATCCCTGGCCTGGGCAAGGTTGACTCAACCTTTCATCCCTTGAGTGGGTCGATAAAATGAATACCAAGTTAACTTGGGGACTAAACATAGGTGGTGCTGCAACAAGCTGACCACTTCCCAGAGCATATGCTGATGCACTCTGAGGCCCAAGGTCAAGAAAGCAGATTTCGGGACACTGCAGGCCATGCCCACTAGGGCTGTTGTGCCACAAGTTTAGTTTTATGCTTGATGAATTATGTAATTCAATAAATATAACATTTATTTTACTAGCTTTTAACACCTAAACAAATAAAACATTTTTCAGTACAGTCAAAAGTCGTTAATCCGGACTCGTCGGGACTTCGGCGATTCCGGATTATCGATTTTTCCGGATTATAGATCATCAGTTTAAATCTCGTAAGATGGCATGCAGAAATTCTAAAATTAAAAATATGAAACCGTAATTTATGAAATAAAGAACAATTATGATCTAAAGGGTATCAAAATTTACGAAAAAAAAAAGCTTAATATTTATTTGTTTACTTTATTAAACATTTCTTTCAATGTAAGTTGTTTAAGTTGCTTCGTTTTATGTGATAATACTTTCTCTTTAATTCTATAAATAGACATAATTTCTTGTTCAGTTACGAAGTTCCGCTGTTCAAGTCCCATAATTGCTGTGCCGAGAATACCGACTAACTTGTCAATCGAAATTTTTTCGTTTTCCCTAACCTCTCTCTCACCTTCTTCATGTCTTTATCCATTTTTTGCAGCAATTCCACTTTTTGTTTGATGGACATCGAAACACTTTCGTTTTGTAGATCGTTTGGGAGCTCCAGCATCGAAAATTCTATTTGATATAATCGAAAGTTCAAGTTTACTTTTATAGTATTGCTCTTACAGTCTGCAAAAAATAATAAGCCGGATCCAATTCGAAAATTAAGGAACAACACAATCATCAACATTAACTGAAATAGATAATTAGATAATTTTAGCTTATTCCGTCCGTTATACATAAAACGCGCACGCGAAAACGTATTCTGCACTTGCGCACACGCATATGCGCAGACGTAAAAGGTCTTACGCGCACGCGTAAACGCCTATGCGCATGTGTCAACGCGGCGCATGCGCAGAAAGTTTTTAGCTTTGAGGTCCGGATTATGGGTGTCCGAATTAACGACTTTTGACTGTACTGTTCCATTAAATGCATTATTTTAGGGCAAGACAAAAATGTTGACAGGAATTCTAAGTAGATTGTAACAAGCTCAATGTTATATAAAACATGGTTGCTTCAGGAAAAGAGTAACAAATATTTATTTACGATGAATATAATATATATTTTTTGTTTAATGTGCAAAATGTCAGGGCTATACTTTATGCAAAATGTGTGCAATTATGTTATAATTTTTCAAGTTGCTGTGTCTATGAGAACAAAACTGTTGTTCTCCACATATACACAATGATCTGTTTTTGCTTAAAAAAAATCAATGAATTGCACAAATCTGTAATCATACATATAAAAACAGTAAGTGCAATCATTACATAGCCATTCTTTATGCGATATAAAATTCTACCACATTTGACCACATTCCTACACATTTGTCGATTAAGTCCCCTTTAACAGAAAAGTACCATTGGTTAATCTTTGGATTATGGTAACTTGGCGATTTTTTGGCGAAAATTTGGCGACCAACCCTGCTACAGCAACCTGCTAGTTTTTGTTTGAATGCCATTTTGTTTTCACGAAGTAAAGGCATTTTTTTTTTTAACTCAACATTTTTTTCCAACAATCTGCTAGCCGAATTAGGCTTATGCTAGAACTTTTACGGAACAAAAATGCTTAATCATGACGAAGATTAGGTGCGAAATTTAGAGAAAGTGCAGAATCGCAAACTCCTTGCCGCGTTTTTAAGAATTGCACATACACGGTAACCATGTACACGTCGACCTATTTTCACTTAAAAAAAAAATCCCAAAATTCTGCAAAAATGGCATTGCGCACACTCTTGACTTTATCCATGTACACTGCTAAAGTCCTAGCTAGTAACCTTTATCGCCTTACCAAAATGTCGCCAAACTACCTGTTACCATATTCCAAAGATTAGCCGTATCATTTTTCATAATTATTCTTAAAATAAAATGTTTAAATTAGAATTAAATATGGTAAAAATTTTTTATCACAGCTATGAACAAACTACTTTTTACAAGCAATTTACTGTTGTAACTAACAAAGGGAACAGAAAATCTGAAAGTACCCAGTTTTTAAATGTGACTACAATGTAGATAAGAAAAATGCACACTTAGTTTAAACTTGCTGAGTAATACTGATTTAAAAGTCACCATAAAGTTTCTAGGCATACTAAGATTTCATAACAAAGCATAAATCTTGAAAACACTGAAGACACTTTTTTCTTATATTTGAATTGGGAGGGGGAACAATTTATGTAATTAAATCTATTTGAATTATCAATACTTATTTCATTTTACATTTAAATTAAAAAGAACCATCTTTATTTAGTTAAAAAATATAACTATTTAAGAAAAAAAGGAAAATAACATTCTTTACTTTCCTAAAGGCAGTTTGCATAGAACCATCCATGAATACATACTTTAGTACTTGGTTTTGAAAATTACATACTTAAGTACTTGATTTTGAAAATTATTTCTTTTATAACTGATGTTCAGTATAATACATTTTCATATCTTACAGAAAAAGGATGTTATAATCACTGTAACAATAATGACTTTAATTATTTAATGTAATAAAGCTGAGGACATTTTTAAAGGTTATTATACCAAAACAGTTGTTACAGAAAGATGGAGTGAATATATTTTAAAGATTTCTAAATACAGTAAGACCCCGCTTAACGCTGTTTCGGTTAGCGCTCTTTTATTTCAACCCGGGGATTCCACGAAATCGCTCGCAGCATACGGGGATTCCCCGAAATATTATGCAGCGATAGGTTTCAAATACATATCCGAAAGACTGTACTTGTATTTCTTGTTTGGTGCGGTATTGTACAGACATATTTTGAAGGGGTAAATGTGGAAGAAATAATTCAAGAAGCAGCGCTAGTCTTTCTAATGATGAGCTCAAGGAATTAACCGAACAAGAAGAAAACAAAAATGTTGACAGCAGTGATTCAGAAGAAGAGCAAAAAGAACTTTCGATGGCGTTTGTAAAAAGGCGTTTGTCTACCATAACTGAAATAATGGATCAATTCATTGAAAATGATCCGAATTCTGACAGGAGCTCAAAAGTAAGGCGTGGTGTTAGAGATGCTCTGTCCGTTTTTGAAGAACTTTTAAGAGAACAACGCAAAAGAAAAAGGCAAACAACATTAGATGCTTTTGTCACAAAAAGGCAGAACACTGAAAACGCGGAAGGCTAACTAAATATGACTGACTGAGAATTTTATTATTTTTTTTTTTAAGAATATTCGTTTTGTTATTTATATTTTGTTTTTATTTTTGCAAGAAATAATAATGTGGTATTAATTTGGGCTTTAAGAAATAAATGTTTGGTTTTATTTTTATTAAAAAAACATACTTTTTAAATTTAATACCTAACCAATTTCCTAGCCATCTTCCCCTAACCCCAATATTTACATGTAAAGATAGCCTCGTTTAGCGCTGTTTCGCATTACGCTCTACTTTGATGGAACGTATCCCCCGCGTTAAGCGGGGTCTTACTGTAATATTAATAACTTAGAAAACAAAACACACAGACAAAAAAAAAAAAAAAAAACACTCTATAAACTACATAAAGCATGATGGAAATAGCTTGACTAGATTCCAGTGACTATGCTAGATGCTAGATTGCTACAGAAACATGCATTATTCATAAAACAACCACTCTGAAAGATAAAAGAAACTCTGTTTAATATAAATGCACATCTAAAAAGGTAGGGGGAATATTCATCATTAACACATAATTTCATACTGTCTTAAAAGATTATCTCCAATATATCATATTTTCAGAACATATATTTTAAAAAAAATTACATTTCACATGTTTACCTTAAATTACCGTAAAACACAGAATTACCACAATATTATTTCAGAACACTTTTCATAAACAGGTATTTAATATTTAAAAAGTAAAAATATCTAACTATCAGAACTACTGCTGAAGTAGTCTGCTTAGCTGTTTTTAAAATAAAAATCATTATATATGAGGTGTAACAAAAAAAAAAAAAAAAGATAAAGTGTGTACCTTGAAAAAAAGAGTTGGCAACAACTAAATAGTGATGTCATGCCACACACTTTCTCTATCCATGAGGCCAGTTTCGACTTACGGATCACGCCAGTTCGGAGTACTGTGTCATTGAGTGACCATGTGCAACTGCATTCTGCACGAAAAATGTCTAATGCAAAAACCGAACAGCGAAACAGCATGCTTCATGTGAAACATAAGACATCAGCCATGGAGGAAACATTTTAAATGTTAATTGAGGCTTATGGAGATGAAACTTTGTCTCGTGCATGTGTGTTTGATGGCATAAGCGGTTTTTCAGAGAGGAAAGGGACAGTGTGGAAGATAATGAACGTGCTGGGTGCCTAAGGGGGACCCCAGCACATTCATCATGATTGAGTGGGTTCCCAGTGGTCAGACTGCTGTAAATCAACACTACTACATTGAAGTAATAAAAAAGACTTCATAAAAAAATTAGGGAAAAAGGCTACAATTGGGAAGTGATGGATGGCTGTTGCGCTAGGCCCTATCTGTCGAGCAGCTTCTGACCAGCAAAAACATTACTCCTTATTCACCTGATTTGGCTCCATGCAAGTTTTTTTTCTCTTTTTTTTCGCTTCCTAAAGTTAAATCTTGCTTAAAGGGAACCCATTTTACCACAGTTGAAGAGGTTCAGGCAAAAACAGTGAATCTCTTAAAGTGCCCTCCAAAAACCTCATTCCAGAACTGTTATCAGCAATGACAGCACTGAATGCAGAAGTGTATGAATGCTGAAAGGGACTACTTTGAAGGTGATGATGGCACGGAGAACTGATTCTGTGAGTACAGTAATTTATTGGACCAGTCTCGTTTTTTTTTTTTTTTTTTTTGTGTCACACCTTGTACATATCAGTCTTACAAGCATTAGTTATCATTACAAACCAATGTGTATTTACATACTAGACATAATGTGAAAGTATAACATAGTCTTGCATCTAATATACCATTTTACTAATATCTGTTATTAAATAATGAAGAATACGTATATATATTCCTCAATGCTTTCCGATCACTTATTGCTCATTTACTGCTTATTACAGTTTCTTAAATTTCATGATAAAATGCTTTACTCCATTTTGCTACTGTCTTAAAAAATGCTATACGATATGAAAACTTTTAATATTGTTGATCCTACCAAATACATAGTTATTAACTTTCAAATAATTTAGGTAAAGTGCAGAATCACCCACTTATTTGTTTGGCGTTTGGAAGAATAGGAAGAATTGTATTTCTATCAATTTTCTTTTAATTTTTAAGTGAAAATAGGTTGATTTGTACATGAATAAAGACAAGGGAGTGCACAATGCCATTTTTGTGCAATTCTGGGATGTTTTTTTAAGTGAAAATCGATGTTTACATGGATACCGAGTATGTGTAATTCTTACAAACAAGCCATGCAGTGGGCGATTCTGCACCTTCCATCATTTTCGTTATTTTTCTTGAAGTCCTGTTTTAGATATTTTTTGCATGTTTATAGGTTGTTTAGATATTTTGCATGTTTACAGAATTAATTCAAATTCGCAACCATCTAACATGACGATATGATGAGTTAGTGATTTTCTAAAAAGCGTGAAAACAACTAATTTGACGACTTGGCAATTTCTTGACAACGTGCCAAACTGGACCGTAATATCCAGTTTTACCGTGGAAAGCATTGTATTAGCTTATAAATATCCATTTGTAAGAAATCACATTTATGCAAAAACTAAAATGTAACTGGTCTTACTTTAAATGTAAACATCGCCAACTTTGGCGATAATAGTTCAAACCTGGTAACCCAGCCGATTTATCGTTTTCGCTTTTTCGAAGTTTGCAACCATTTCTCTTCCGTTCATTTTGTTGAAATATCACTGTTGTTGTTCGCATTTGCAGATTTACATTATTCTTCTTTATTATTATTTTTTCTGAAATTTTAACAACGAATAGATAGAGACCAGTTCTCGGTTCGGGATGAAAGGAAGAAAATACGGCGGGAGGGGTTAATGCTAATTTGTAACACGGCTGTTCACATTGTGTGTTCTTAATTATTAACAGCTCTAAGAACCATGAGGTTTCCAACCTCTAAAATAATTTGTTTCCGTAGGCCGCAAAAATATGCATGTGCATTTTAAATAATTAAATAATGCTTTTATTTTTATTATTGGTTATTGTCATCTAAAATTATGAGAATAAATCAATTTTTATGGCGTAAAATTTTAACAAGATAATATATTGTTAATGCTTTTCTAACAATAACCTTTCAGAGGATGGTAGGTGTGACATAAATAGATGATTAAATTGAAATAAAAATATTATTGATTATGTAAGATGACAGAATAGTTTGATGCATCACCATGGTCATCAAAATTAGCAAACCACTGCTGATGTAAGGAATATATTGTTTTCTGTGTTAATTGGAATTTAAGACAATTTTTTTTCGTTTCTCACGTTTAACCGGTTAATTTCAATAAATTAATAATAATTTATAATTTTAAATGAATTTTTATTTCCGTTATAAATGCTTATATATTGTCTTATGCTTAATATATTCTTTTCTGTGCTAACTTGAATTTAATTCAAATTCATTTTCGTATATCACGTTTAACCGGTTAGTTTTACATCTACATGCTTATTATCTGTGAATTTTTACTACCATATGCTTGTTTTGTCTGCTAACTTGAATTTACATGCACTAAAAATCACGTTTACAAAATATCACATTTACGGCATTACGGCTCAGCTCATCGTCGATGAACAGCGAGCTTGGCGAGTAAAAATGCAACGGCGCCAACGGATTCTTTCCCGAAGCGCCAACGGGTTCTCTGCGGATGAAAACCCTCATTTAAAATTGGTTTCTCAATCTTGAATTGATAATGTGAATATTCTCTAACACATATTAAATATTATACACATAAAAATATTAAATCTAACACATAAAAATATTAAATAAATACATCCATAAATAAATCATATACAAAATTCAGTCAGAATACATATATACACTAATATACAAATGCTCAGATTTTGAAAATATCAGTATTTCTTACCATAGAAAAGTTGCATGAATAAGCGGAAGTAATTATCGACTCAGTCTTAAAAACAATGCATGACGACATTCTTTGGAATCTGGAGGAAGATATTTGTCATAAAAATCATGAATAAATTCCTCAACCTTGAAGCCAAACTTCTGATACAAAAATACAGCTGAACTTGTTGCCGATACATGAAGCGTTACATCTTTACCCATGCATGTTTGAATGAGATGATAAAGCATGAAAGTAGCAATACCAGCTCTCCTCCATTCCGGATGACAAAATATGAAAGTAATATATGCTTCATTGTATTTCACATCAGGCACCATGAAAGCAAATCCTATTATGACTTTCCGGTATAATGCAACACAGCTAAAATCAGGATACTGAAGAGTTTCAGATAGGTCTATTCCTGGCCAAAAAAACTCATGGCACAAAGCATTGATCCCTGGTATGTGCTGAGGTCGAACATAGCAAAAGTCTATAGGGCTCAGTTTCGGAGGTTTCCAATTAGGATTGGAACGATTTGAGTACGATACAATTTCTTCTAATAAACACAATTTCAATGGTTTTATTTTATGGTTTCGAAATATAAAAGGCTTTAAAACTCTCTCAGTATAAGGGCTAACAATACTTTCTTGTTGCTCATCTTCAAGGCCCATTAAACGAGTAACAAAAGATACATGTTGAGAAAATTTACCTCGAACATTACAATGGTTAGTCTGAAAACGATCAAGAATATTATTACGTTTGGTAACTGAGTTAGTAACTTTGTTTAAATACTCTCTATCAGCATAATCAGGTGGGTCCATTCCTCTTATGGATCTCATTTCCGCATCTATATCAAACAATGGAATATTTTTTTCTCTTTTCAATTTCCTAATGACTAACTTTCTGTAGAGACGCCTCACATCTGACCTCTCTTTCATTGCTGTAGGATATTTTTGCAATTTTTCTAGAAGTTGATCTTCTTCATACGGAGTCATAAGTGTGAATTTTGACACTGTTACAACTGTTTCTTTTACTGGGCTCTCATCTTTTGTAACTGCTTTTCTCTTACGACTGGTATCAGGATGCTGCTGCACCTTCTTCATAGTACTTAGTGTCTTACAAGAATTACTGCTTTCTTCTTCACTTTCATAATCATGAGTTGAAGATTTTATGCTGATTTTATCAGAGCTTATTTCAGAGAGCATACCATCAAGAAAAGAGTTCAAGCAATCTGGTGTATCTAATGGAGCAGAAAAATCAAACATATCAGGTATATCCTGGATATCAAGGTCAATATTATCTTTTGGTTCATCTTTTATCCAAAGACTTATTGGATCTTCTGAAAGTGATGGCGTTACATTAGGTTCTGATTTTATTATAATTTTAGGCACATCATGTTTAGGAGCTAAATTATCTTGAAACTCATAATCACTAGGTATATTGGTTTTTGGAACAACAAGTTTTAATTTATGTGGCAGTGAAGACTTAATCTTAGTTTTACTTTCACCCTTCTTCCTCGGTTTTGATATCTTATCATCACTTACAATACAGGCTTTCTTCTCCTTTAAAGCTACAGCGGCTTCAACAATGTTTTGGTTCTTTTTTCTGGAACCTTCAACAACAGGTGCAGAAGTCAATTCCTGCATAGTTTTGCGTTTACGATTTGGTTTTATATTTAGGGTAACGGATTCAATTTCCTCAACAGAGGGTAACTTCGAGCTTTTAAGTGACCACCAACCAGTCTCGCCCAATACTTCCATACCAGATACAAAATATCTGTTAGCGCCAGTTGATAAAGAACCAGCTACTGTGCCATGCCAAGTGGCACTTTTTTTTCTATCAGTACCGAAAAATACTGTCCAGTTTTTATCAATAAAACGGCATATGTGTTCTCTCCAACGGAAATACCCACATTTCCCGCCGCCTTGCAACTGCAAGTTATACAGTGCAAGAATAATTACTAAAGTCCATTGCAATTTCATTCGTTTCACACTTTCTGTGCCATCTGCAGAACAATTTGCACAAATAAATTTAAAATAAATATCTCCGGTTAAATCTGAGGGACGGCCAGATTTAAGGCATGAAGGATGAAAACGTTTCTTACATTCTGTGCATGTTAACATGTGAGGATCAAAATTCGTACTTGAACAATAACAGTTTTCAGTTTCTTCCGATCCTATAAAAGATTCCATTATTTATTCAGTTCTTTGAAATTCACACTTGAAGCAGCAGGAAGCACCGTATAAATGGTTGGAGAGAGTCTCTGAACGACGTTACCGAGTACAAATAACCATTCTATGTTACAAATACACAACTTACGTCTTTCTGCCCCGCAGACAGATAAGCGAATTTTGATTTGCAAGAAAGATATGGCTATTGAAGTGTCAGGAAAATGCTCTGATTAAGCATTTTTCTGACTCCTATAAGATTAATATTTCTTTAAATTTATTCATATCTAATTTCGCAAAATAGAAAATCAGTCGGAGATCGGAGATCATCATTCGTTAAGTGGTGTTCGACCCGAAGGCCTTTACCACTACATGTTTATCAATCCCCTAAGGACCTGTAAAAGTTCGTTAAATTCCATAAAAATGGAAAAGACCTTGTGCACTTGTAATAAACGTGCAAAGTCTTCAGTAGTGAAGAAGTTGATCAGGGGTGACGCCATATATCGGCCATAGATGAAGTCTTCGTTGGATAAGCAATAACTTTAGCATATCTTTTCGCAATGTCATATCTTTTACACATTATCGTAGATTTGACACAGTATGGTACAGTAAAAATAGAAAATAATATATACAAGTCCAAGAAATTTTTGTTCTTTTGTCAGAGGCGAAAGTACCTATCCGCGATTCAATTCACTTATAGGTGGCGCTTTCACACATTAGTGTGGCGGATAAAAACCGGTATTTTGATTTGTGATCTGATTTCGTACATTGAAAAATGGAGGTGCTAAGCTTTTCCGAAATGTTTGATTTTGTTCAGGAAG